CATCTTTAATCGCACGCATGAAGAGATGCCTACTTAATCCCTAATTTATAGCTTTTTATTTTAGCTGTGGCTGTGCGTGGGCATAAGATTTGATGATTGGGTTTGCTAAAAGTGGGTGCCATACCCAAAGTAAATCACCGCACACGAACGCAGCGTCCCAATTTTTCACTTTTCAATTCTTAATTTTTTATACACTCATCATTTTGAAACTTACATAAATTTTTAATTTCTACACCGCTAATCTGATTGGAGTTGCTTTTTCTTATAACTATCTTCACCACAAAGAGTTGCATCGCTATCTTCCTAATTATTTTTATGATTCAAGTTGTCTCTTATCATAGCTCTAATCTCTAGACTTGTTAGTTATATTTTATTTTAATTAAAGTTTTAAGCAACTTAAAATTGCTATTTAAGTATCTTTAATTTTATGCATTGTGCCAAGCCAAGGCTGCCTATGAAATAATTGTAAAATAAGTTATGTAGTGAAGCACATGGGATGGGATTGAGAGATTTGCGCAACTAATTAAACATTATTTTCAATATGAAATTAATAAACTTTTATTAGCCAACTTAAGTATTAATAAACTTTTTTTTTTTTTGTTTTGAGCCTTCCATATTTAAATTGTAATGGGAAAAGAAAAAGTTTGATTCTAAAAGAAGATAGAACTAAAGGTAAGTTGAATTATTAAAATTATCATATCAGGAAATCTTGAATGGAATATTATTGACATATATACTTGATAATTAAGGAAAAGAAGAAACAAAATTGGATAGAAACAGAAGTCATTTCTGTCGAGATTTGTGGCATTGGGGTCATTGTTGAGGGAAACAAGAACATGATTTGGAAATTAAACAGAGCGAAGAAATGGAGGTTTGTGGAGGAGAATTAACCTTGCATGAAGCCATGCAAAAGAAATTAAATTACAAAAACCAACACACGTCCTGATTGCTTAATGCTGATGATACAGTCTACTGTCGTGAGACACAAATGAAAACAAAGAGGAAAAAAATCTTTTTTTTTCTCACACTACTAGAATTAAGAAAGGTAATAAATGTTGATTTTACGCTAAAATAGACAGTTAGAGATACCGAATTCCACACTCTATAATCATAATGATATGATGTTGTTCATTTTGGATGCAAACTCAAAAAGAAAAATAGGAAATCTTTGACATTATCGTTCATTATGTGTTTGTGTGGCTAGGTTTTGTGCGGTTTTCCATGGGCTAGATCTGATTGGACCAAAAGTAGATTTAAATGTTGAGTTATTGTGATAACACAATAATTAAAATTTGGTTGTAAAATTCGAAGTCCCTCTTGGTGTAAGCAAAGCCAATCCGTCAAACTCAAAAAAGAGCAGTGTTCGTGTGGTGTGGCTTCTCCTTTACTTTG